AGTTGTAAGTATAACAGAATTGTTAAACAGTGTTGTTTTAACTGTCATTGTTCCATGCCATACAGCAATGTCTACAAGTTAGACAAATGTTACCATTTAAAACTGATGTTGAAGTCAAAGGGAATTTTCTAGAATTATTTAATTCTTTAAGAAGTTAGGAAATGAGAACTAGGTCATGTATATTATGAATAACTTACGGTTATTTTCTTCTTTGAATTCCCTTCAATATATGGCAGTAGGAAACAAACTTTTTTTTTTTTTCCATTTCATTACTTTCTGAAACCAAATGCCAGCATAGTTTCATCCTAAAAGACAAAACATTGAATCATTTGTCTTATTATTGTAACATATTAGACATGTACCTCTGAACCTATAATTTCTCTAATTCTTGGAAAAAGACTATAACAAACATGTTGAGCCATTTTCATTTTACCTTATGGAAAAATAATAAACATCCACAAGCTTAGTCATTCTAACTTGTATACAGCATAAAAGCAGTGTAAATAAAATTTCCCCCTTTTTGCTTGGGTTTAAACCTCTGTATTATGTTCAAAGGTATCTAATGCTTGAAAGCTTTGACCTTGCCTGGGATAGGAGCCAGTTCAATGGCTTCTTGCATAGAGTTAAGCCTAAATCATATGATCAATAAATGAGACAGGCATAGTAAATGTAGCGGGGCCCTTACTCACAGGAAGGACACTGCCTGATATCACAGACCACTCAATACTGGCAAAGATCTCTTCAAGCCCTTTCATGTCTCAGATCTCTCTGAATCCATCTAGTCTTGAACTTCATCTGTTATTTTCCTTCTGACTAGAATCAACAATGTATCTTTTTGCTCAAGTAAAAACAACATTGAGTGTTGTTACTGTTGTGTGCCATCAAGCTGATTCCAACTCATTGCACCCCATCAGGATTGAGTAGAACTGCTCCATAGCATTTTTTCAGCTGTAATATTTAGGTACTGGGTTCAAACCACCAATCTTCCAGTTAGCAATCAAGTGCTTAACCATTGCACCACCAAGACTCCTTGTTAAAAGCTAGTTGTTGTCAGTTCCAATTCATAGCAATCCTGTATAGGGTTTCTGAGAAGCTGCTGGTGAGTTTGAACCTTTGATTTGTGGTTAGCAGTCCAGTGCTTATAAGTAGCATAAATGATATGCAATAGAATATAATGTAGTTTATGAAATACATTATCTTTTTTGTTGTTGTTGTTACGTTCCATGGAGTTGGTCCTGACTCAGTGACCCTTGTACAGGGTTTCCAAGGAGCAGCTGGTGAGTTTGAAATGCCAACCTTGCAATTCAAACTGTGGTCCAGTGCATTATCATGCAGCGCCACACCAAAACTTCATTAGTACATTATATTAATGCACAATAGAAATACACATCAGGAAACGGAGGCATCCATAGGAAAAATATTTCATGTATTTCATCTCATTAACACACCTGATTAACACAGCCTGTAAGTAGTTAATTGGGGAATTGAACTCAAGTCTGCCTCATTCCATAGCTCATTCTTTTTCTACTGTATCTTCTTGCAATCCCTAACCAGCAAATAGATAAATAGCATGCAAATCATAATAAAATGAGAGAGAAAAAGTTACTCTGAAGAATAGTAAGTCACACAGACATGTGCCTCCAAATAGTAATACTTAAACTTAATTTACTCTTAAACTATTTTGCCATTTGATTTTATACAAATCAAAGCAATGTCTTTTTATTATTATAGTTTATTTCACTCATCCATATTTGGATGTTGATGCAAATTGGACACTTGATTCCTTGTTAAGTTATAACTCTTGAAAAACATTATTTAAAAATTCAGGAAACATCTGTTTTTCATTATTAAAATACCCCCCCCACACACACACACATACCATTAATGGTAGCTTGTCACCATAGCAGCAACAATGGTTCAAACATAAGAATAACTGTGATGGTGGCGCAGCATGGGGTTAGTGTTCTGTTAAGCATATTGTCTCTATGAGTCAGAGCCCCCTCCAGGGCACCTAACAATAACAGCCATTAATGGTAACAAATCAGCGAAAGTACTGATCAGAAAATGAAATTCCGTGTTGGCATCTTCTCGGCCACTGAGACTTTCCAATTGTTTCTGAAGTATACTTTCAGGCCACAGAGGCTTTGATAAGCCTTTTACACAGCCTGGCTTCTTCAGTGTAGTTCTAAGTGTTACAAAGAATGTGGTGCCTTTTCACACTGGCCACTTACTACCTGTGTGGCTCACCGTCCTGAACCTCAATTTTATTAAATTATAAAATAGGAGCTCTTGTATCTTCCTTATGAAGTTGAAGAGATTTGTCTGATACATAATAAAATTGTGGCAATACTTACTATATGTTGAAAACTATTTTAAAAAATTACACTCAGTGAATCATTTAATTCGCATGGGAAACTTAACAGGTGGATTCAGAGGACAGAGATAAGATTTGAACTCAAAAAGTCTGCAACCAAATCCACATCCCTAACTAACATGCCATCACTCCATATTACATATGGTAGCCTTTATCCCTGCTCTTACTGAGTCCTAATAAGAAATGTTGAGAATAGGTCAACTTTTAAATTTTTCTGTTCCTCTGTTTCTAGCCCAGTAATCTACCTGGGTAATAATATCTGTCACCCTATTCAACTACAACTTTCTCTGAGTCTCTGCTTAACATGCATTCTCATCACAGCTGAGTATTTACAAGTCACTGAATAAATCTGTTTAAAAGGAATTTGTTTTGGTGAATGTGCACAGAACTTTAATAACATAGATAACAATGAAAAACATACATCATAGTTTTCTCCACACACCCTATATTTGTAAATGTAGTTGATTCCTTTTCCTGAGTATGAAACTGGACTGTATAGCTTTGAAAGCACAGTTTGGCAAATTTTGAGGCAATCATTGTTCATAAGGATATAAAAGTCGAGGGAAAATATTCTGGATTAACTGGTCAAATCAGTATAAAATTTAATTGAGAAGTAATTGATCTTAGTCCATACCAACAAAATGTTGTCTTGATATTTTCATTATATTGATTTAAAATTCACCAATAAATGTTCCACCTGGGCCACTTCCCCTGATTCACCTCCTAAGCCCAGCTTCAAGCTGCATCATCTGGATTTTATTCACAGAACAATCTTCTCATTCTTTCCCCAAGGTCACTAAACGCTTCTTCTCTTAAAATTTGATTGTGTATTTTCTTAATTCGCTATTCATCTTGACTTTTCTGGAATATTTGATTAAGCTGATCATCTCCCCAACTTGAAATCTGTCTTCAGCTTCCCTTGAACTCCATTATTCTAGGTTTTCTACTTTGTCTTTTTCTATCTCTATTCATTCACCACATATTTCTTATCTACCAACAAATCACTGGCTATGCACTAGTTCTTGTTGTTATGTGCTGTCAGTCAGTACCTGTGCACAACAGAAGAAAACAAGACACTGCCCAGTCCTATGCCAACCTCACACTCGTTGCTATGCTTGAGCCCATGATCCATCTTGTTGGGTATCTTCCTCTTTTTCTCTGACTTTCTTCTTTACCAAGCATGATGTCCTTCTCCAGGGACTGGTTCCTACTGATAATTTGTCCAAAGTATGAGAGACAAAGTCTGGCCATCCTGGCTTCCATTCTGGCTGAACTTTCAACACAGATTTGCTAGTTTTTTTGGCAGTCCATGGTACTTTCAATATTGTCTTCCAACACCATAACTCAACTGTATTGATTTTTTATGGTCTTCCTTATTCACTTGCTACCTCAAACTCAAGACAATACCTAGTGATAATGAAGACATACTGGTGTGTGGCTGTTGTCCAATTAAAGGGAGTGCTCTCAGGAAATTATTTGGCCTATTTTATATGTTCACAAATTGGCATGTATCTCTTGGTTCCTTTCAATGTGAACAAGTACACGGACAATGCATCCCTTGAGTGACAGTTTTTTGCCACTGCTTTCATATCCTTTAGCCACTTGGGCTCCAGATATAATGCTTCAGGGAGAACACTTGAGGATTTCCCTTTAATCAGAGCTTAGTTCTTTGCCCACACAAGCTGCCTGCTGTTTTACTGCATATCCACACCTTTAGCCAGCTTCTAAAATGCTGGAGTTTTCAATTGCCAGGGGAATGGTGTTCCCCATAGCCAAACTCTTGAATAATCAAGCTGCCACATTCAGAGTACATAAATTAAAGTGATTGCTTTCCAAAGATAATCCCATTACAGATATGTTTTTCTCCTTGAGTAGACTCTGGGGGAAATGATTCAATTTCTAAATAAATACTATTGTATTTAGAATAATTGAAATAAGCATAAGTCTTTAAAAGATTTGGATAACTTTCCCTCATGGGAAAGAAATGTCACAGTCAGAAGAAATACAGCATGTCGTATTCTCTTATTGTTCATGACTAAAAGTCATGAAAATAATATGTTCCCCATATGCTAGGGACTAAATTTTACTTCTAATGTAATATTGAGCCATCAAGAATAACTATTGTGCATGTAAGTGTATAGGAAGTGATTTGCAATGATACGCAGTAGTTACATTGATTTTCAAATAAATTTTTCCATATCTTTATTATTATTATATTGCCATTTCAATGTCTAAAATATTTTAATACTCATAGCCTTATGTTTTGGCAATAAGGTGATCTTTAATTATGGAAACTCTAGTAACATTTTCTTAACTGAACACACACAAGTGCCTATTTCCATTTGACTAAATTTTTTTAATGTTTTACTGTCTGAATTAAGATTTCAGCTAACCAGTTTAAATTTTTACAATGTATGCATCATAGATGAAATTTAATCAGAAGTTACTCAAATAAGAATCATAAGAAAAAACAACCAATAAGATGGCTAAATTAACATTTTCAACATAATACTTTTATTCTTTTTTATTTATCAGCCTACCTACTTTATTTTGTAACATAGCTAGTGCATATTTCATTCAAATAGGTGTAACTGACACTTGACTCTATGTTTCCTTTGCCTTTCAGGTGTTTTGCAACATGGATGTTAATGGGGGAGGTTGGACTGTCATACAACATCGTGAGGATGGAAGTCTGGATTTCCAAAGAGGCTGGAAAGACTATAAAATGGTAAGATGGACAATATACAGTAGCTTTGAAGTTTTATCAGAAGGTTATCTTCATCACATGATGTAATAAACTTATCATTTGTGGTGATTTTGAGTTTTATGCTAAACAAGGAATGATACATTAGTATCATTACATGCAACACTCAAATCATTTTCAGTAAATGGTTTCCATGTAAGCATCAGAAAGGAAAATGCTTTAGTGAAATTACTTGTTGAACTATTATTTATATATTGTTTATACTTGATTCCTAGTTGAATGGGGTGAGTGGGGTTGTCAACTAGAACTCAGGCCAAAGCCCTGGTACTAGAGCCAGAGCTGTTAAAACTACAGACTCTGGTGAAGAAAAGGTATTAAAGGTAGCTTCACTCATGTGCCTACTAGCAAGTTGTTACTGACTTTTCCACATGACTGTGTTGGGTATCTCACAGTATAGTAATCTATGTGTATGATCCTGTATAGGGTTCCTGAGGATAGGTTTGTGGATTTGAACTTCTGACCTTGTGGTTAGCACAACAGTATTTATCCTAGTGTCACACCAGGATGTGTATGTGGAGTCTTGATGTAGCATTGTGGGCTAATGTGCTGGACTTCAAACTCATTTGAACCACAAGGTCATGGTTCAAACTCCTTGGGATCCCTATACAGGGTCACTGTGGGTTGGAACTGACTCAACAGTAAACAACAACAACATATATGTGTGTATAGGTGGATGTGTGTGGCACTTTATGATAAGAACTGGACCACAAGGTAGGCAGTTCAAATGAACCAGCTGCTCCGTGGAAACCCTATACAGAGTTGCTATGAGTTATCACAGACTCATGGGCACTTCATAACAATAACAACATTTTTATTTTTGTTTGTTTTTAAGTGCCGTCGAGTCGGTTCCGACCCATAGCGACCCTGTACAGGGTTTCCGAGGATGTAAATCTTTACGGGAGTAGAAAGCCTGATCTTTCTCCCGCGGAGCAGCTGGTAGTTTCGAACCGCTGACCTTAAGGTTCGCAGCCCGATTCGTAACCACTACGCTACACTTTACTTATAACAAGACTGTGCAATAGCTGGAATCCTGGTGTGGTGCTATAGGATAAGCACTGGACTGTTAACTACCAAGTTGCACTCAAACCCACCAGTTGCTCCTCAGAAACCATATGTTTCTCTTGTTGTTACATGCCATTGAGTCAGTTCTGACTCAGCAACCCTGCAGCAGGTTTCTAAGGAGTGACTGGTAGGTTTGAACTGCCAACCTTGTAGTTAGCAGTCCAGGGCTTATCCTACAATGCCACAATAGGACTCCTTGTACAACAGAGTCACTACAAGTCAGAATCAATTCCATGACACTTAACAACAACAATGCAATAGCTAATTTTATGAAGAAACTGCAATTAAGAATTTTAGGTGTTCTAAGAAAATATAGTAGATGAAGGTAATAATCCCACAGCATAGTTGATTACTATGATTCCTGTTGAGAACTATCAATCAATTCCCACTCATAATGACCCCAATAACAGAGTAGAATGGTCCCACAGGGTTTTCTTGGCATGACAGTAGCAGCTCACCAGGTGTTTTTCCTAGAGAGCTCTATTGAATGGATTTGAGCTACCAACCTTTTGTTTAATAGCTGAGCTGCTTAACTGGTGCACTACCAGGGATTCTGATATTAACTATTAACATACGCTGGCAGAATACCAAGGTACTTAATGGTAGGCTTATTCTTTTCAGTCAAAAGCTCCCAGACGGTCCTTTCATGACTTTGTAACAAATTTTTCTCTCTTGAAGTCAACAAAAAGTTGAAGAGAATTGCTATTCTAGCCCGAGTTCTGTCTTGGTTATTTTGGGAACAGAGCCTAAAATTTGGCCTGGCCCAGCATCACAGTTCACCCATCCTGAGTTGACAGACTGGTAAACAATTGTTTTAATAAAAGAACATCTCTGGTAGTGCCTCTGTTTCTACATTTTTGTCAGAGATATAAACATTCTGACATTAGGTTAATAGAGTGAGTTGTACAAAATAGGATTCTTGATGTGATCAGTAAGCCATAGAGTCAACATGAAAGGTACTCAGCAAGATAGAATTCAGCAGAGATCAATATAAAATCTGTCATGTGTAGAAAATATAAAAACTTAACTTTGATAATTCAAGATAAAAGGATCCTGGGTTACACAGTGGGTTACACCTTGGGCTGCTCACCAAAAGGAGTTTTGAACCTGCCAGCAGCTTTGTGGACAAAAGATGAGGCTCTTAACTTTTGTAAAGATTTCCAGCTTCAGAAGCCCTATGTGCCAGTCTTACTTTGCTCTATGGTGTGGCTTTGTAGGATCAGCACCGCACTGTGAAACACAAGGTTCAAACTCACCAGATGCACCTCAGAAATTCTATACAGGGTTCCTGTGTGTGGGATCTGACTCAAGGGATAACAACAACAATAATGTCTCAATCAGTCAGGAGCAATTCAAAGGAAGTGGATTTTGATTTTAACAAAGGGAAAAGGTGAAAAATTAGCTCAAGAACCAAGTATTTAAAAACTGAAAAGATTTACTAAGTGATAAGTTCACTTTATGTTGTTGGCCACTATAAAACAAAGACAAAAACTACATTATTTGTAGTTTGTAGGACACCAAAATATACATCTAACTGATCTCTATGCCATGGTCTGTTACAACAATATGCTTTCTATTTTGAGTAAACTCATCCTAGAAGATACAAACAGAAAGGGAGGAATCTGAAAACAATGTCTGAAGAAAGTGAATAATTGAAGCTATTGAACTCAGAGAAAAGAATATGTCTGATGGCAATGTGAAGTATATGCTACTCAAAGTGTAGTTGAGAGATCAGAATCATCTGGAAGTTTATAGAAAATTCAGAATCTCCAGTTCCACCCCAAACTTAAAGAATTACAATTGGCGTTTTACCAAGATTGTCAAGTGACTTGTGGGCATATTAAAGTTTAAAAACCATTGTTTTGGAGATTAAGATTTATAATGAATGGAGGAATGTTCCAGAAGGGCAAAATTCTCTAATGGTAAATTCTGTCCAACCATGAAATGACTGGTTTGTAAAGTGATGAGGCTACTGCTTTAGTGCAAACACCTTAGTAAAGGCCAAATTGCCATCTTCTCTGAATATTATAGACAACTGGAAAGTTAGGATTGTTTTAAGGCCTCTTTCTGCGTATGTGATTCTAATATATGGAGAACAAGACAATCTTAAGTTCTAAAAGAGGACCTTGAATGATATCTATATTAGTAATTTGAGTCTTGGTTCTGCCATTTACAAACAAAATGACATTTGGCAAATACTGTAACCCATACTTCAGTTTTCTGCTAGTTAAAAGGTAGTGGGGTAATAATACTTTACCTGCCTTGCAGGGATGTTGGCAGGATTAGAAATAATATAAGTAAGTACCTGGCTCACAATGAGTTTTCAATAAAAGGTTGCTATTATTATTATCCAAGATTAAAACATCAAAGACTGAAAAAAATGTACTTAACTCTGCCAAAAAAAAAAAAAAAAAAAACCACACTGTTTTTGTGAACCATCTGTTATTTTTTCTGCTTATGTTGGGTGTAAGGAGATCATCTAAGAATCAAATTGTTGTTGTTGTTATTATGTGCCGTGGAGTTGGTTCTGACTCATAGTGACCCTGTACAGGGTTTCCGAGGCTGTAAATCTTTATGGGAACAGAAAGCCTCATCTTTCTCCCACGGAACAGCTGGTACTTTCGAACTACTGACCCTGAGGTTAGCAGCCCAATTCATAACCACTACGCTACCAGAGCTACTTTTTCAAATTATAGACATCTAGTCAAATCTGAAATACATTATTATCAACATTATTATCAATATTAATTATGAGAGAAAAATGAATATAAAGTTGTCATTGTGGTGAATTTCCAAAATGGTGAATTATTGGCTATAAGCATCTGCTGCCTTGACTAGCAAGGCACTTTAAGTAAGACAAACTGACATGTGAAGTATGGAATTGACTCATATCATTTAAGTATTTACCAAATATATACATTTTTTAGCAAGTCTTAGTTATTGAAATAGGACTGGCATTATTTTTTGACCAAAGCTGTTACAGAAATTATTAGCCTCCCTTTTTGTCTATCATTTTATTAAAACTTACTTCCAAAGTGTATCCACTGAATGTCAATTCTGTAGTCATAAAGCAATATACTCTGAAATTCTTAAACCTCCTGGTAAAAATTAAGTGCAATGATGTTTTAATTAAAAGAATTAATCATATGTTACAACAATGCTCTCCACAATACATAGTAGAAAATGTTTCAGTAGCTTCTCCAAAGCTGTTCTTTCACTTAAAGACAAACTGCTCTAACCCCACCAGCAATGGACATGGACTTCCTATGTCGTTTCTTATCACTCACACCCACTGTGTCACAAGAGCTGGCTCTTACTTTGCACTTCAGATTGTACACCCTTGGGGAAAATAAGAACTTCTTGGCATGCACCACTTCCTTCTCAATTGTGACTAGTCTCCTATTACATACAGTAAGACACTATAGTCCCTGGGTGGCACAAATGATTAAGCACTTGACTGTTAACTGAAAGGTTAGAGGGTTCAACCCACCCAAAGATGCCTTGGAAGACAGGCCTGACCATCTGCTTCTGGAAACGTCATGGAACACCCTCCCTCTGGAACAGTTCCATTCTGAACATGGTCACCAGAAGTCAGAATTGACTCTACAGCAATGAACAACAATAAGACACTATGCTTATTTCTCAGACCCTGAGCATAGAAATAAAGTTTCATCTCTCCCTCTCTGCCTTCCTTCTCTCCTTCCCTTCCGATTGGTTAAGATCTTTGGACTATTACCGCATAAGATCTCAAGAACTATATTTTAAAGTTATCAACACTTGAAATTATAAATATATAAGTATAATTACGAATTTTAAACCTCACTGAACATGAAAGCTTTACCGTTTATTTGATCCCTAACATTGACTTTAAACCTACAGTCTTTCACCTGACCTGTGTTTTC